TGCCATATAATCTTGTAATATCATGAACAAGTGGAATTCTTGCTTCCTCCACTTCAAATTAAATTTTATTTGCTTTTCATGTGTCAAGGACTTTTAGTCCTTATTCCTCTCACTCATGGGATTGTTCCCACCATTTTAAATATTGTTTGTCAATTTTATGACATTAACATTCTTCATGAGAGGCACATTAGGACAGTCAAAAATGCTTCAAATCTTCTTGATACTTTCTGAGTTTCCTATGTAATTGGTTCGAATCATCTTTGAGTGATTTGAACCAAAAATTCTAGAACAACTCAAATCATTAGATTCATTTTTCATGACCAAGAGCTATTCACTCTTGCTATTTATAGGATTCTTTAAATCCATATTTCTTTATCTTTTGGACCATCTTTCCAAGCTTCCAAAAATCAGTCAAGTGCACAAGGTTGCACTAGTTTCTACAAATGATCTCATTAAGAGATAGCATTTAAACAAGGATTCAAAATCCTTCATGACTTATCAAAACTGAAAGCCTTTTTACTTGGCCTCTTTTCTCTTAGTTTATACTAAGACCATCAGTTGAAGGTTTGCAAAACAAAATCATATGAAAAATTCATGGCAATCAAGAGCATAAACTTATTCTGCGTACCTATTCCTCATGTATTGAGTTTCAATTTGTCAGCACTTTGTTTTCCTTTTGCGTTGATATCATGCATCATCATCGCCTTACACTTCTAAAACTTTATTTGCATCCTGTGGTTGATTCATCCACCGTCACTCATTGACAATTTGATTACACGATTGCTTTGTCACACGATTGCTATAATCAATTTAATAAACCACCACTTTTGTAGATGGATTAATCACACCAGAAATCCCTTTTCCTTTTGTCACTATTGCACACCAAATCTCCTTGGCTTCACATGCGTTTTGTAGCACAAGTTTCTTCTCAATTATCCAGCAAGCCATGATCTCAAAAAACTGAAAATTAGCCTAAAGATTGTTGGAGAAATAGGGTCTTAGAAAATAAATCATTAGATCATTGGCTTCAAGGCGTGCTGTAAATGTCACTTTCCTTTAGACTAATTTCGCCCCCACCAGATCTGGTATGCAAAAGGGGTAACCCGAAATGCCCATAGGATACAATGAAGCGCCTTGTTGATCTAGCTTTTGCACTAGCAAGATCAACCACTGAACCATCCTTTGGAAAGCGACAAAACAATAGTTTTTGTATAGGGATTTCTCGAGCAATCACAATACAAAAAGGGGCTATTTTATTTAGATATTCCTGGGTTCAAATAGACTCCACCAGAGAAGAAGAGATAACTCCATATTTATAAGGCAAGATGTCTCTTGGAATAGACACTTCTTTTCAAGATGTCTATTGGGAACAAACACTTCTTTTCAATTTTTATCCATTGGAAATTCTTCCAAAAGTCATTTGGTTTGATTTGAATTCCAACTCACATGTTTCCTTGCCTTTCAAAGTTATCCACTCTTTTCAGAAACTTATCTGAATTTTATCTCTTATTCTGACGTAAATGGTTCGAATAAGAAAATTGTGGTTCGAACCAAAAACATAACTTTTCGGATTTTGATTTTTCGTAAATGATTCGAATCATAATTATATGATTCGAACCAAAGTTACATTTCGAATCATAACTCTAACAGCACTCATGAAAAGGATACAGGACACATGGCCAGTTTTTGTGTCAGTGGATGCTGAATTCCTTCTTTGGAAAGCTTGAAGTCTTGTGTGTGACATGCAAGGTTTTTAAAACCGGACCGGACCGGCCGGTTGAACCGGTCGGACCGGTACCCGGTCATGAAAACGGTTCGGTTCACATAAGAAAACCGTTTTAGGTCAAAACCGGTCAAAACCGGTCAAAAACCGGTAAAACCGGTAAAAATCGGTCAAAAACCGGTAAAACCGGTAAAAA